GGGGGGGACCCTGGACCCTGCGAATGCCCTGGATTGCTTCAGGGTTCCCCGCAGCGGGGGATGGATTTGAGCATGCCAATGCTCGATTTGCACGAGATGCGACTGACTGATGGGAGCTGCGCGACTGGAGCCGCCACGAAACTGGGATGTAAGCTCGTCGAATTATTGGAACAGGAGGTATGGGCATAGCCTGGACCTATCAATAGTGTAATGAAGAAGTACGTAGCCACAGCGAGCACCATCAGCTGGGATCATTGCCCCTCTAAATCATCCGACACCTCCTAGATGAGATGCTGCTCTGACTTGACAGGGTCGCCGCCGACGCCCGTCATGATGACCCTACTTATCCCACCCCTGAGCAGTCCTACAACGGCCTCGTCCAGTGTCACACTCGACTTGAGCGCCTTGACGCCATCCTTCCACCCGCTGACGCCCTCGAGGAGGGGCGCGAAGGTGCCGACGACGAGCTCGGTGTCCTGCTCCAGGTAGTAAACAACGGCGTTGGGGCCCGCGTCAAAAGTGTAGGCGGCCACGGTCCGGCCGGCGGCGGCGTTGATGGCCTCGACGGCGCGGATGGCGGCCCTGGACGTGTCGTTCATGTAGAAGATGGGCGGGTACGTGTCGGCACACGTGGCGTGGAACGAGTTGGAGTCCTTCATGGTGACCTCGGCGAACGAGGCAAAGTCGCGGTCGGCGATGGCCTTCTCCATCTGGCCCATGTGCTTGGGCACCACCTCGGCCACGCGGCGCTGGAACAGGTCCGACGTGCCGACCGTCTGCTGCATGCCGCTGGTGGAGCTGACGCCCTTCTTGCTGGCGCTGGCCACGAGCACCAGCGCCCGCATCTCGGGCCAGTACGCCGCCTCGGCCACCTGCTCGGCCAGCGAGTCGGAGCCGTCGGCGGCGGCGCCCTCGCGCCAGGCTACGTAGCCGCCGAACAGGCTGCGGCAGGCCGAGCCCGAGCCCTGACGTGCCACCTTGGACAGCTCCGAGGGCGAGTCGGGCAGGGCGTAGAGGTCCGCGATGGCCCGCACGAGGGCCGCGAAGCCGGCAGCAGACGAGGCCAGGCCGGCGGCGGTCGGGAAGTTGTTCTCCGACACGAGCCGGAGCGGGTACGTCGACAGCTTGGGCAGCGAAGGGTCGGCCGCCTCGAGGGCCGCGCGGCGGGCGCGCAGCTCGCGGAAGCAGGCCTGGGTGCGGGCGCCCGACACGTCGGCGGCCTCGCCGTTCAGCACCAGGCTGTCGCCGCCGGACGCGGGGTACGAGGCCGAGCACGATGCCGTGGTCAGTGTGCGCAGGTCCGACTGGGCGAGGGTGACGGAGAGGGACGAGTTTGTGGGCAGGTTGAGCTTGGGATCGCGCTTGCCCCAGTACCTGCAAATGAGCAGAAAAGGGCGTGTCAGCAAGCCTAACCGCGAGCTTCCCGGTTCCTCTTCCCTCTTCTCCTGACTGCAGGGGCACATCTCGGGGCTGTTGGACCTTACTTGACCACGGCGATGTTTACTGGGGCGGTCGTGGTCGCCCTGTAAATCTGGGCATCGTCGGTGGAAGCCATGGCGAAAGACGGCACTGTGGTAACCGGGACGCGATGTGTTCCACGGGGGTGCTCTCGACGACCTACTTTGATGGGAGAAAACAAAAGGGGAGCAGGTAGAGACGGCGGTCAAGGGACGGCGTTTTGGTATGTGGGGTCGAGTCAAGGTCTGAGGTTCAAGCGCAGGCGCCAAGGAGGACGAAGAAAATCCACAGGGACCCACGAGTGCTAAATACTTCAACC